TTATAATTAAAGGTTAAATGACGAAAATACCCTTGTTTAAAATATGTGCATTTTGCACTAATTTCGTCCAATTTAAATTATTGCACTTTGTATTTTCGTTAATGCACAACATTAATGCACGACTTTACTGCACATCCGGTAATAATCGATCACTGCACTTCCGCCAAAATTAATTATCTTCTCATTCACTTGAAGAAGTTATTTTTAGTTTTTATTTTTTAGATTTAATAATTTTATTATTTTATATCTAATTAAGTATATTGCATTTAATGAAGATATTATTGCTCTGTATTAGTGCAATACTAGTCATAATCATTGCACAACATTTTTTTAATGCTTTAATTCATTGCCATGTACAGAATGTCTAATACTTCGTACCATATACATTCACTGGTCATACTCAACAATTATTGAACTTCCGATATTCAATGCCCATAAACTATAATTTTAGAAATTCCAAATTTTAAAAATTGAAAACCAAAATTTTGCCAAAAAATATACGGAGTAGTTACAAGGCCTCCACATCAACCAAATACGGAGTAGTTACAAACCCATGATGTAATATGCAGGCCCATCGCACATCGTCTAACAACTACAAACCTTCATAAAAATAACCTCCGCCGCACTTCCTCGTTCCTAGGGTTGGGACTTTGGAACCAAGAACCGGAGAACCGAACCGGACCGAACTGTTATGACCCGGTTCGGTTCGGTTCCAACATTTATTAGTTATTTGTTAATGGTTCGGTTCCTAATTTTTATTAACGGTTCGGTTCTCGGTTCCTGAAAAAAGAATGTACCAGGAACCATTAAGGAACCATTATATATAATAATTAAAATTAATTTTTTTTACGAATATATATATTGTAATGTATATTTACTTATTTATTTTTATATTATATTCATTATTTTAGTTTAGTTATTTAACTATTTAAAACTATTATTTATTTCAACCGGTTCTCTTAGGCTTCTTAGGCCTCTCATTAGGTCCAAACTCTAGCTGGTCGGAACTCGGAAGGTCCAGAATATTTAAAATTGTTATTCTCTTTAACTGGTTCAGCATATATGTATTGAGATTTCAAACATTGAATGTCTTTTTGGCAAAAATTTAGTCGTGATTTGTAAGAATTTTTTCAAAGACTAGGAACCGTTAAATGACAAGAACCGAACCATTAAGAACGGTTCGGTTCCTTATCGGTTCTTTAAAATAATTTATAAGAACCGAACCGTTAGTAAAATTTCATATTTTCAAACGGTTCCACATATTTTGCCTAGGAACCAAACTGGTCCCAGGCCTACTCGTTCCTACTAGGTTTCGCATCTCTCCACTGGTGGATCTAGAAGATGGCGGCTGTGTGGTGGCTACGACAAGAAGATATGGGACTGGGGGTGGTTGGGGGCAAGCAACCGATTGGATCAGTTACGCTGATGGATGCCGATCGTACTCCTGGACGGCGGCGAACATTGAGTCGTGGCGGCGGCACCTTGGCACAATGGCACCTAGGTCGGGCGGACAACTGCCCAACAAGGCAGCAAACCACGTTGCTTCGGAGGTCAGCAACTATGTTCCAGACTGGAGTTCTGTGGAAGGCGGCGGAAACGGACGATGGGCGGCGGCGCTGGACGGTGAGCGGTGGCTAGACGGAGGGCGGCAGTTGGCTGTGTGGGTAGGGGTTGGGAGGTAATCGCTAGGGTTATAGAAAAAGAATAGGAGATTAGGGTTTTATAGGTATAAGCAAAAGGGTATATTTGTCCATAAAAATTATTTATTATTTATTAATTACGAATTTTGATTAATTATTATGATTTTTGATAATATTTTGATAAAAAAAACTAGTTAGGTCATAGATTGGGAAACTCATTCAGTTTTAGTAATACCTAGAGTAATTATCTCTTCATTAATTTGTTTCATGATTTTACACAGAACACGGATTTTACCCACAAGCTATGCAGCACGGAAACTCTCGGGAAAGAGTACGTTTCCCGTTTCGGAAACTCTCGGAAACTCTTTGGAAACTTTCTAAATAAACCTTTTTTGAGCAAAAGTTGACGTTTCCCATTTCCCGTTTCTTCATGATTTTCGCGTTTCCGTGCAACATAGCCCACAAGTGCAATTCGGCGTCTTAGTTATGGATGCCGTTTCGTCCCATATTCGTAGAAGTTGAATGAAGTATGCTGACACGGATTCTCCGTCTTGCCGAACAGTCCCTAGCAAACATCGCAATTAGGGATGACAATTACTACGGAACTGATGGATACCCGCACTGAATCGCCCTGGTCAAAATGGGAAAAATTGCATTGACCGGGTGACAGGTACATGGCGGGGAATACCCGTTTTGTTTTTACGGGTAACGGGACGTTTACGGTTTTATACATGACCGTCCATTATCCGCTCCGTACCCGCCCCTTTTATTTTTAAATATATATTTATTACATTTTTATCTATTATTTGTCTCACAACTAATAAAAGATGAGACTTTTCTCATTTCACTATGTATATATATGGATAATGGTTGTACTGTAGTGTATAAATGAAAGTTCATAATTGGTTTTAATAGTTTTGTTTTATTATTATCATATACTTTTCGTGATTAATTATTTTTCACTACAAGTATTTTTAGCTTCAAATTAATTTAGGTTGCCTTCTTTCTCGTATGGTAGATATACAAAACTTTTAAGTGGCGTATGACGTTTAGAGTTGTCTGGACAATGTCATTTTTCCGTATTTTAAAATATTAATTTTTATATTAAAATATTAATGACTCGTTTAATAAAGCTGTTATCCGGGGTTATACCTGTTACCCGTTGGGACGGTTATGGTATGAAAAAAAAGGGTTTTTTACGAGAATATTACTAAAATAAAACTTATTTACATAAATATGTCTATTCATTACTACAACGTAGTGCTGTGGTAACTAAAGTTCAAAACTTGAATATGAATTACTATGATTTCATTACTACTCTAGTAATGAATCATATTTTTGTAAACCATCTTTATTTTGCTCATATTTATGTAATTATTTCAAAAAAAAATACCCATTGGGTAATGGGGCGGTTACGGCCCGGGGCGGGAAAATTACCGAATGGGGTGGGTATGATTATATGTATAACCATCCCCAATCCATCCCGTTGTCATCTCTAATCACAATTCATAGGCCCGAGTTGCACTCTCTATTGTCGAATCACTCTTCAAGATCAGTTCATATTTCTTTGACTGTCTTAAATTTAGATAAAATTACACTAATATTACTCTTTTAAGAGTTACGGACAAAAATGTGACCTGGTAACTTTTAGTTACTATAATTTTGTTCAAATTTACTATAATGTAGTGACCATGATGTAAACTTTGAACACGTTTATAATAACTATAAGTTACCAAGTCACATTTTTGTCCATGACTTTTGTATTAGTAATATTTTAGGAAAAACCTCTTAAATTTAACACTCTGCCGCAATTCGAGTTCCATATTGCTATTAAGCCATGCTTTTACCATGGCGTTTACACGTTGCCAATATGGCAAATAAGGCGAGTCCTTTTCCAGCATGGTGATATCACTGTTAACAATTCCGAATTTATTTTTGGCATAGAGATCGTTGGTCATTTCATCAAATCAGCCTCCATAATTGCCATCTCGTGGGAGTGAAGTCATGAAAACATCTCCGAGTTTATCACCAGATTGGATAAAATATGGGGACATGAAATCAATGGTTATTGAGTCACCACTATAGCCGCCCTCATCGTCAATGTTCATCTCGTTGGTTTATTCGAGTATGGCAGAATGTAGACTAACTAAATAAAGTCACGATTTCGACTTTGATACCTAAATAAAATGATAACTGGAATAAACTATGAAATAATATGTTAGGAAGAAGAGAAGCTTGTGTTTTTCAGTCATGGGTTTACATGGCAGACATGCTCAATTTATACATTAGTATGTGGAGAGTTGAGACAAAAAGGGAATATAAAATAAACAAAGAAAGTACATGGAAAGCAAAACTAATGGGATGAGTATCCAATGCCTATCACGTAAAATCCTCCATCTGCCGCTTATTATGTATGGTGCATATCACATGCATACAGGTTTAGAAGGAATTGAAAATTATTCCGACATATTTTTAACTTTTAGATTGTGAATTGATAATTTATCCATTTTTCAGGTTCTGAATCAATAAATTTCATTCTAAATATCACTACAAGAAAAGTAACATTCCATGACACACAAAAAGTGTTAGAAAAGGTGTCAAGATAGCCCCCTTGAGAGAAATGCCAATTAACATAAAGTGTCAAGAGGAAAGGTTTTAGAAAAATAGTGCTTAACATTCAAGTCCAAGTGTTTGTGAGTCTCTAAGGACCGTTGGTGACACACAATCGACCTAAGTGTTACATAACTATATACTAAATCTCTAATTAGCTCTTTTGAGTGGATAGCTTCTTCCGGTTGATGATCTACCATGTGTCAGAGAAATACAATATGAAATACAATATGATCCAACCACACACCACATAATGAAAATTGCTTACCCACATTTAATTTCTAACTTGTTTATGCATATAAAATGTCATCAATGATAATTCTGGCAAACCAACTATTTTGCCAAATAATGGTCAAGGAACCTTTGTTGTTCATTTTTAGCTGTAAGCTATACAAATTAATTAAGGATATTTCTGATATGGTAGAAGTCAAGAAACATTACATTATTATTATTACTATTATTATTTCTATGTCTGCTTTAGGCAGCTTCTCAATTAGCATTTATCTCCTATAATTATTCATATTCTGCTTTAGACGGCTTCTTAATTAGCATTTATCTCCTTTTATAATTATTACTATTCTATCCTATGCCACTTCTTAGTTAGCATTTATTTCACTATGGGTTATTCGAAAACATTCTCTTTGTGCTTTAGTACAAGGATAAGACTGCGTACATCCGACCCCCCTACCCCACCGTAGGTAGGAGCCTTTGCGGCACTGGGTAATGCTGATGATGATGATGATGATTGACTCTTGTAAAAGCTATATAAGGGACATCAATATTATTCAATAAACAGCTTGGGAAGAATTAATTCTTTTGTGCCTTGACAAGGTCGGCCACAGATTATTTTATTATTCTCTTCTCATATTCTCTATTTGCTAGATCTAAAACGAGATCCTAACCACGCCCGTAACAATTTGATATCAGAGCCTTCATGTTCCTGTCCGATTCATCTTATTCCGCACCTTTTCAGTTTTATCACATTCCTACTCGGTTCAAATTTTTCCCTGCCCTTTTTTCCTGTTCAGAATCCTTTAAAACGAAAAAAATTATTGTTGGACCAGCACATCCAGTTCTTCGAGGAAGCAAAAAAAAAAAAGATGCAGGTCAACGACGCTTCACTAGTGACAAAACTCCAACATAGTGCAAATCGGTATATGCATGGCCAAGGACGTTTGAGTAAAAATCTTCGTGAATTGAATGTCTCGATCTCTGAAACAACCAAAGCTCTCGCAACTGCTATGGAGGGTCTGACTGCTGCTACAAGGAAACTTGCTTCTGTCATTATTCTTCCTTCAATGCAGACCTTTGACACCGTTATGGAAGATCTTGGCTTTGTTACAAAGAGAGTTGCTTCAATCCAAACAGCCCCTCTGCGCCGTACGTTTAGCCCTGTGTGGAAACAGTTATCCCGTGCTATCATGGCTGCAAGGCATGCTAAAGGTTTATGTTATAATTGTGACCAAGAATGGTTCTGAGCCCAAAATCGCTGCAAACGTCTGTTTTGCATAGAAATTTTAGATTCAGAAGATCCACCCTATACACCATCTCCTTTACTGCAGCCAATAACTCAGATGCCTCCGCCATCGGATAAGATTTTGCAACCCACAATCTCTACCATCTCAATGGTTGTCACTAACCGAATTGTTTCCACTGAAAAAGCTGAGGCTTGAACCAGTACCACCCACACCTAAAACTGTATCTCAACAACCCTCATTGCCTCCACATCTACCATATAAGTTGATACTAAATCCTTTGCCAAATCCGGTAGCCCAAAAGTTTCTGGTAATCTACTAGAAAAGATCTACAACTTTCCACTACACTTAAATCTCTGCAAGTATTTAAAGAATGAATGCCTTGGAGAATTGAAGAGGAAAAAGTGTCATGATGTCCTAGGAAATCAACTCATCAACCTTCACTTTATCACACATGGTTGTTTGTCCGTTTCTTTCCCAATAATGCTGTTTGGTCGTGGAAAAGGTGGACACTACCGCCAGTTACTTCTCTTCAAGCTTGATGTCTAAGAGGGGAGTAATGATATGGGAGAAGAAGTCAAGAAACATTATATTATTATTATTACTATTTATTATTTCTATGTCTGCTTTAGGCAGCTTCTTAATTAGCATTTATCTCCTATAATTATTCATATTCTGCTTTAGGCGGCTTCTTAATTAGCATTTATCTCCTTTTATAATTATTCCTATTCTGCTTTAGGCAACTTCTTAGTTAGCATTTATTTCCTCTTAGGACTCTTGTAATAGCTATATAAGGGACATCAATATTATTCAATAAACAGTTTGGGAAGAATTAAATCTTTTGTGTCTTGACAAGCTCGGCCACAGATTAATTCTAGCTTAGGCTTATATTATTATTCTCCTCTCATATTCTCTATTTCCTAGATCTAAAACGAGATCCCAACCACGCCCGTAACAATTTCATAGTTTTTTCTTTCTTCAATCAACATATAACTTTCAAAAACTTACAAAAACAAAAAAATGTTGCTACCATTTTTTGTTAAAGTTAGATAGGTAAAATATTCCTTAAAGTGATTTTTTAATGTAATTCATTTTGCTTTTGAAAAAATATATATAAAAACAGCTCATCTTTTCACATCTTGGATTCTTATTCTGTGCCTAGGTTGTACCCTTTGATGGTCCACCAGATCACCCATGACTTGATTGTTGTTTCAATGGCTACCTACTCTGGGGGACGTTTTCCAGCCTCCTCACGCCAAAGCCCCGCCCTTTGGCGCCATTTGGAACAAGTGTTACGTTGGCCTGTTGGACTTATTCCACTTCAAAAGGTCCAAATATTTGAACTTGAATGGAATGCATCATAGGTTAGGGCTCAAATACTTCACTAGATTACATCATTACAAATCAGTACAGAAGAATCATACTACATCTAATGAGTACAAAGACGTTTAGTTGAGTTTCAAATCTGTAGGTGGCCAATAGTGGTGCCATACATGATACATGGTAATGGCATCAATTGTGAAAGAATTAAGAAGTTTTCAGTTAAATTACAAATAAATCTTTTATCTGTTTTTCCATCACTTCATGTAAGGATCTAACTTCCAACTCTTTGAATAATGAATGTATGTTCAGTAGACTGAAGCCAACCTCTTGTAAGGATCACCAAATGCAGCAATATTCCCAGGTCTCGAGAATACCATCTACATAATGTTTGTATTTAGGTTGACAGAAGATGTTGGTAAACTTTGTCTAGCTTTATATGAAAAAAAAGAAACACAGATAATTCACACATACCTGATAGTTTCCAAGTGTGCATGTTTGGAATCCAGCCGCACAATAGTCGAAGTAATATTCCCAGGTCCGGATGAACTTCTGGTCAAATCCCAGATCAAGAATTTGTCTGCATGGCACAGTTTATATTAAAACATTGAAGTCCTGATTTGTTTTTCCCATTTTACTCAAAGACCAATATCAAATCTTGATCATCTTACCTCTGTCTTTCAAGGAAGTTCTCTCTCCAACATCGGAGCGTCTTATAGTAATGAATTCCGATGTCTTCCAAATGCTCCACACTGTTGAGAGAATTCATTATATCATGTAACTATAGAGTATGTTCAAACAAAAACTTCTTTGTCTCTTTCATTTCGTTTTTGCTTTTATTTTTACCAGAGTCTTGATGAAGCAGCCATGGCTGATGTGACTCGGCTTAGAGAGGGTAGGCATCCTCCCGGGAATATATATTCCTTGATGAAGTCTGAGCTCTGCCTATATTCATCATACCTCTCATCTGGTATTGATATAAACTACACAATAAACCCGCATTTTACTTCTTCAGTATAAAACAAAAATTCACCACAAGATGTTACAGCACTGGTTTGAGTGGTTTCGTAGAACAATTCGCAAATATATTAAAATGTAAATCAACAGCCTGTTTCATAGAACAAATGTATTAAAATGCAAACGAACAGCCTTTTGGAAGGCCTTTTTCAGGTTATCTTGCAGACCAGTTTTTTTGCCAAACATCGTTTTCTTAACTCCGCGTGCTTAATAGGGTTAATAATGGCAAAAGTTTAAGGTCAGAATTAATTTTCGATTGAAATGGCTGAAGTTAGTGAGTACTTCGCATAACTTTAAAAAAAATTGCATACATTATTAATTTCACATATATTATTAAAATTTTAATATATTTTCAGTAGTTTCAGCCTCATCAACCATTTCAGTCCCATTTAACCTTACCAAACTGGCACATAAGGTCTTGGGCTAATCCTTAGGATAGTCTTTAGGTTCAATATTTCTAGGTTGAGTTGAAGCAAAGGTATTCTTTTTTCCCCTTTATGTGACTTAAGTACCTGCAGAACAAGAATACCATCTCTTGCCAAAGCAGATTCACAGTGACTAAAAAAGTCATTCATAAACTCGTGACCAACGGCTTCCAACATCTCACTGAAAATGATCATTTCTCGGGCCATCAGATGCACATGGCATTCAAACAAGAGAAACAACAAGTGCAAGGGAAGAACGTACCAAGATATGATTCTGTCATATTTTTTATATCCAGGCAATTGTCTATAATCACAAAGAAGAAACCTTATGCTATCCTGAAGGCCTGCTTCTCTAACTTTCACTTCTGCATATTTCAGTTGCTGCTCTGAGAGGGTAATGCCGGTATATTTGCAACCCGTCCTTTTCACAACTTCTATTGCTAAGCTTCCCCAACCACATCCTATCTCAAGAACGTGATGTCCTTTACAAATTTTTGCCTAAATGCATAGAAACAACGTCATATTTGTCTGAAATTCTAATTTTTTGAAGAATTTTTGAGTTGTACTATATTGGCTTTACCTTGTCAATCAGAAGGGAAATTTTTCGCTGCTGCGCCATTTTCAAGTCTTCATCTTCACTCTTCATTCAAAAAGTTGTGTCAAATATGTAAAAAGACCTCGAAGATAAATTGTGGGAAATAAAAAGTATTTATACCTTAAATATTGCACATGAGTATGTCATTGTTTCATCTAAAAAGAGAGAGAACAGTTCATTACTCTGCAAACAAACACAACTAATAATCATCAGATTCTCATATCTTTCTGGGATTGTCGTTTAAAAAGGTTCAAGGCAAGAAATGCTTACAAGATCATAGTGACGAGAAATATTGCGTCTTGCTTGAGTAAGAGTGTTTTGCCTTGAAACATGGTGTCTAAAATATTTGGCAGATGCAACTGCAGATGTGAAAAGCAATGGTGTCCACCACCCCCTATATGAAATGAATTAAGCCAGATTTAATAAGGGTCTGTTTGGAAGTAAGGCTTTTGGAGGGTTTGGGGGGGTTATATCTTGATAAATACATTATTTCTAATAAATAATAAAAAAAATTGAAATGTTAGACGATCACATATCGTGTTAGTCTTTCTTTTTCACAAAGTCTCAAAATTTTGGAATAATCTTGATGGAGGGTCTTGGAGAGCGTTGTCTCTATCTTGATAACTAAAACATTTTTAAAATGAATAGATGGTGAGTGGTGACTACAATATGACAAATAAAATTAATGCATTAACTTGTGTCTTTTAATGTGTAGTGACTTCAGTGATATTTTTGCAGTTACTGTGGTGATCATGGCTATGTTTCATTGCAGTATGGGAAAACCCCATGTATGATCACCTATTATAATTTAATCCTTCATTTGAAATTGCAAAAATTTATGCCAAAACATGGACATAGTTCTCCAAACCCCATGACCCCGAAGTTCAGAAATGCTCAAAGATGTGTATGCTGAGAAGTTCAGTAACCAGAGAGAACTTTTTACCTTTTACTATTAGATCTTGATACTGAAGCTTTTATGTCTCTGTTGGCAATAAAAATCTGCAAGATAAAGTCAGGTTCTTAAGTAGCAGTAAGATGTGTTTGTTTTCATGCAGAACTTTTATTCATCTCTTACTTTAAACAGATTAAGAAGACCTTCTTTTTTATCTACAAAAGAGATATCCCCATGAATATAGGCATCAGCAAGGCCTAAATCAGCCTGAGTTGCAACCTGTTAAATTGTTATTTTCAAATGTTACCATTCTCTAGTTTCGCTAAAAGAAATTAAAACAAGACACAATTTCGCTCCAAACAAAAAAACAAGAAACAATTTATGTATTACCTTCCAGTAAAAATGTGGACTGTGAACTCTGAGTGAAACTTTGAGAAAGTTTTTCTTGTCTTTTCCTTCAAAGGTAAATATTGTGCCCCCTTCTTCCAAAAAACTGCTCAACAAACATAAGCAACAGAGAAAATGAGCTGTAGTGGAAGGGGTGAAAATCATGTTAAAACATCTCACATCGCAAAAAGTATTTAATTACAACTCAACATAAGGTCTGGAATTATATTATAGCACATTCAATTATTGTTCTTACGTACAAAAAAAGCTTCTAAAGTCCAAAGCAGCGATTCGACTCTTTTTAGCCTAAAACCCAGGCACACAAACTTCAAGATTTGGTTTGCATCCAATGAGAGCCACCATCTTATGCTATATAAGTAAAGATTGAACTCCATGTTTGAATATATATAAGTAAAGATAGAACTCCATGTTTTACGAAGTCTAACATTGGCCAGAGTGCAAGAAAAGATGTTATTTTCAGTCAGTAGTATCAACTCACATAATGCATCCGGTAGCAATAAAACTTCTGAGGAAATTTGTTACTAGAAAACGCGCTCCTGTTTCAGACCACGAAGGCACCATTTGTCTTGGGTTGTTCAGTGGACTGCAATTCTTCCTTAATATTCCGTGTGCAGCAACCATTCCAGCCTATGGACACCAATATACTGTCTCATTTAGTACTTAAAATCATTAAGGCGTAATTTGAGATTAACGCTATAGTTGAAAAAGGAATCTTTTATGTCTGTAGTGTTTAAAACTAACACTTATTTGGGACTTTGTTATGGCAAAAAGATCCTTTTTAAGGCAAAAAATACTCCAAACGGGCTCAATGACCACAGATATACCTTTAGTCCATCCTCATGAAATCCATATCCTGAAAAAGATATGGGATATGTAGCACAATAAATAATCTGTTGTAGTGAAATATTATGAATTTAAACATGAAAGTTGATTCTATGTATGAATGTTTACCTTGATATGCACCACAAAACCATATATTCCGCTTTCCTTGAATGTCTTGAAGTTCAGATGAAGCTTTTGATGCAGAAACTGATGGAACTGGATGTCCCGTTGTCCACTTAAGCAAACAATCCTCTGGTGTCTGAGGTGGATTGAGAGTTACCAGATAAGGCTGCTCTGTCTCACCGAGGTTCTGTTTTTTCACAACCGTGTTCTTATTATAATTGCTTG